TGCAGGGAAGAAACAGTTTCTGAGCCTGGTGGTCTTGCTCTGAATGCTCCTCAGCCGCCTGCTTGAGGGGAGGGGTTGGAACAGACTGTGTGCAGGATGAGTCGAGTCCTTCATGATGCGGAGTGGCCTCCCCCTGCATCGTGAAGTGTAGAGGTCTGAGGTGGTGGGAAGTCCTCTCCCCACATCTTCTGTGCAGCCTTAACCACCCTCTGCTGAGCCATCCTCTCAGCAGCAGTGCAGCTGCCGTTCCACACGGTGATGCAGTTGCAGAGAACGCTCTCCACCACACAGCAATAGAAGATCCTCAGGACAGAGCTCCCAAGTCCATCTCTCTGCAGCGTCCTGAGGGAGTGGAGATGCTGGTGGGCTTTCTTGACCAGACAGGAAGTGTTGGTACTCCAGGTGAGGTCACTGGATATATGCACCCCCAGGTACCTACAGCAGGAGACCACCTCCACAGCAGCTCCTCTAATGTGTAGGGGATGAAGAAGATCCTTGTCACTTCTGAAATCCACCACCATCTCCTTGGTCTTCTTCAAATTGATGCAGAAATTATTGTCTCTGAACCACTGCACCAAGTGTTCCACCTCTTCTCTGTATTTGGACTCATCATTGTTCGTGATGCACCCCACTACTGCTATGTTGTCCACAAACTTCACTATATGGCAGGTGGGGTAGGTGTGTTTGTTCTGTCTGAAGTCCACGACCATCTCCTTTGTCTTCTTCACATTGATGTGAAGGTTATTCTTGGTTATTCTCCCTGCACCAGCTCTCGGGGTGTTCCACCTCCTGCCTGTAGCTAGACTCATGGTTGTTTGTGAGGTATCCAACCACCACTTTATCGTCTGAAAACTTTACAGTATGACAGCTTGCATGGGTAGGTTCACAGTCATATGTGAGCAGAGTGAACAGGAGGGGGCTCAACGCACAGCCCTGGGGGGAGCCAGTACTGAGGGTTATGGTGGAAGAGGAGAAGTTGTGGATCCTCAAAGATTGCATTCTGTTGGTTAAGAAGTCCAGGACCCAGTTGCATAGAGAGGGGCTTAGTCCTAGTGTGAGTAGTTTGTCCTCCAGGGTCTGGGAAATCATGGTGTTGAAGGCAAATGTGAAGTCCACAAAGAGCATGCGGATGTAGGAGTCTTTCTGCTCTAGGTGGGTGAGTGCAGTGTGGGCAACAGAGGAGATTGTGTCCTCTGTTAATTTATTCTTGTGGTATGCATACTGATGATGAGGGTCCTCGCTGATGTTGATGTTAGCTTTGATGTGGGTCATGACCAGTTTTTCAGTTTTTTAGCGACTATCAGGGTGAGGGCTACCAATCAATAGTCTTTCAGGCCAGTCACTGTAGGGCTCTTTGGAACTGGGATGATGGTGGCAGTCTTTAGGCAGGTGGGACCTGTTGCCAAGGTGAGGGAGGAGTTATATATGTCAGCCAAAACCTCGCAGAGCTGATCGGCACAGTCTTTCAGCACCTTCCTCGGGATGTTGTCTGGGCCAGCTGCCTTTGTGATGAGTAACCCTCTTGAAGGTATTCCTTACTTCTTCTAAGGTCATGCTGAGGAACTCTTCTTCCAGTGATGAGCAGGTGAGTCTGGTGCTTGGTGATCTATTCGGGTCCTCAAAGCGTGCATATAACCTGTTGAGAGCATCAGGCGGTGATGGATCCCTAGGACATTGTGTACCTCTGCCTTTATAATCTGTTATGCACTTAATGCCCTTCCACATGCTCTGTGGATCTTGTGAGAAGTGTCCATGGATCTTCTGTGCATATGCTGCTTTGGCCCTTTTAATACTAGCATCCAGCTCTAACCTTGTTCTCCTCTGGTCCTGTGAGCTGCCAGACCTGAAGACAGTGTCCCTGACTTCCAGCAGGGTGCAAACCTCTGCATTCAGCCAGGGCTTTTGGTTCGGATAGCTCTTCACATTCCTGAAGGTGGTGATATCATCAGTACACTTACTGATGTAACACAGGACTGAGGATATGTATTCTTCCAGGTCTAGCACCCCCTCCTTTACAGCAGCCTCCCTGAAAATCTGCCAGTCTGTGCATGCAAATCAATTTTTCAGTATAGAGTCACTGTTCCTTCATTGTTCCTCACCCATCCCTTTAATTTCCTTTGTGTTAGTCTGGAGCGTCTTGGGGGGTGGGTGGGGTTAAGCAGGTGCCAGAAAGATTGATATGTGATCAGAGAGTCCAAGTTGGGGGCATGGTATGGCTTTATATGCGTCTTTCATATTGGTGTAAACATGGTCTATTGTGTTGTTTCCTTGTATTAGTATGTTCACATGCTGATAAACACTTGGCAGTGTCTCCCTCAGATTTATGTGGTTAAAGCCACCACATAAAAAGCCTCTGGGTGTTTGTTTTGAAGTGAGCTGATGTTATTATTTAGCTTCTTCAGAGTGTCTTTAACATTAGCGTCTGGAGCTATGTAAACAGCTATTATAAACACCGCTGTAAAGTTGCGGCGTAAATAATGTGGTCGACATTTCACAGTTAGTTGCTCTGAAGCCTCGGAGCATGTACTGTTTATCAGCGTACAGCTTGTGGACCAACCTTTATTTATGTAAACACACACTCCCCCTCCACATGTCTTCCCTGTTTGTTCGCTGCAGCGGTCCACTCGAAGAAAAAGTCTGTTGTCTAGCTTGAAGGCTGTGTCCGACATGTCGCTGTTAAGTCATGTCTCTGTGAGACCGCACATTTCCTCACGGCACCTACTCTCAGTCGAAGCAGATCCATGTTGTTATTCAAGAAGCGGACGTTGGACAGAAACAGAGAGCGTATCTGGAGTCTGGCAGTCTTAGCGTTAGCTTTCAGCCTCACTAACACACCGGCCCAGCATCTTCTCTTCTTCCCCCGGGAACAGCGCTTCCTCTTTCTTTATTTAAACACTCTAAATGTAAAGAGAATTCTTCATTACTTTATTTTAAAAAGGAGCATTTGTAAACTCATTGCTTTGCATTAAAAAAATGCAAAAGTGTAATTTATAAATGTATTTGACATTTTCTAATTTTTAAAATTTATTTAATTTTATTTTATCTCTCACTTAAACTGTTTGTTTTGGCACCACAGTACCGGCACCTCCAGGTCGTTTCCGTCGACAGTGTTGGACTAGTTGGTTCAATCGAGACAGTCCCAGTGGAACAGGTGACTATGAGGATTTGAAGTCTCTGAGAGAAGCTTACCCAGGACAAATTTGTGAGAAACCTATCGACATTCAGGCTGTTACTGCTGATAAAGAAATTCCAGCTGGAAAGACACATCAGAAATTCTATGCGTAAGTTGTTCATAAACATAATTATTCATAAAAAGGAGTGGCTAAGCTTACCATGTTTCACTCCGAGTTGTTTTAGTACATTAAGCTACTCCTTAAAAAGTCCCTGGAAAACATTTTTAAGATGAAATTTTTGTTTAGAGTAACTTCACAATGATGGCAGAATTGCAGACTTAAAAATAAAAAAGAAATGTGCATACTCTGTCTGCAATGTTGACCAAGTAAAATGTTTAATGCTGTAAACACAAAAAAAGGAACGGCAACAAAAATTAAATCAGTTTAAACAATATTTTATTACTGTCTGTTATCTTTCAGCTACGACAAAAAAAGAGGCTTCATTTGCCGCAATAAGGACCAGAAACATGGATCCTGCTTTGACTACAAGGTTCGCTTTAGATGCCCATGTGGACTTCGTGGCTAAGTTCACTTCTGCCAATGATGGAAAAAAAAAAACGTGGCTTTAGATTTCTTTGATTCTTCTTTGATTCATTTTCATTTGTGTCAAATAAAGTACTGACCTAATGAAATTCCTTTGTTAATAATAATATAATTATTAATATGTGATATAATATAATGTATAATATTATGTATTATGTTATACATTATAGATCATGTTTTTTATAGGGAGAAAAATCAACATCAAATAAAGTTATTCATGGAGCAAACCTTTTTGGTTGTTTTCTTTCCCCTCTTATCATTTATACAGTAAGCTTTTAATTTAGTCATTAAATCAGAGAAGTTCACACATTTTTTTCTATAGTTGTATCAAATATTTTTTTTTTGGAATTTAAAGTATAAAAATTCAATTCAGTTTATTTATATAGCGCCAAGTCAGAACAAAAGTCATCTCAGGGCACTGAACAGAAACGTTCTAATATAAAATAATAAATTAACTATTTATCTGAGGAGCAGACTACTTTGAATTTCACTCCATCACAGAACTCTCATCTTGATCAAGCATGAAGGTGACATTGGAAAAGAAAAACTGACTCACGAGGAAGAAACCTTTAGCAGAACCAGGTTCAGGACAAGCGACCATCTGCTTCAACCGGCTGGGTTTGAGGGGAACAGGAAGAAGGAACAGATACACAATGGCAGGTCAAGAATCACATGTTAACATAGAAATAGTATCAAATTAAAACTATTAAATTTTAATAATTCATTTTAGGAAATGAGGTCAGTTTGCCCTCTAGTAAGAAGAACACCACTGATACTCATCATACATCAGGTACATTCTTAAGTCCGCTAGAAAGCTTAAGGTGAAGAGCACCTTTCAAGAAACAATGACCCCTGGCACACATCCAAATCAACATGTGAATAGTTTCACCTGGGGAAAAAAAAAAAAAAGTTTTGGACTGGCCAAGGCACAGCTCTGACATAAATTTGAAAAGACTTCTTCAGACTGAAGAAATTTTCAGTCTGAAGAAGTCTTTTGCATAAAAGACGTGACATTTCAACAAAGAAGAATCCATCCAGATGACCTTGTTAGAGATTGATGGGTCAAATCATGACTGGTAGATTAATGCGAACACTGAATGCTGTGATGAAATCAAACATTGCTTCAACATAATATTAGTTTAAGTTTGTGCATTTGTAGGTAATCATCAGTTTTAATTTTTTCCCCTTAACAATTTTGTTTGTATTTAATTGAGTTGCACAGGTTAGAGGTAGCAATAAAGGTTGGAAACATTTTAATACCATTTAAGGTGGTAAATACTTTATCATGACAAAAATCTGGCATTTTACAAGAATGTATAGACTTATACTTTCTTTGTAAAGAATAAACCATGGATGTCACAGGGTTATTTTTTAGACAAATACATCTGTGCACATCTGGAATTAGTCAGTGTCAAACAATGGATTTCTGAATTTTGAGTCAGATATAAATGGATCAGAACACAAACTTGCTTTGGTTGCTTTAATATACTGCGGTCTGCTGTTTAAAACATATATTTGTATTTATCTTTTAGAAATGTATTTTATTTCCTAGTTTCCAAATTTATTTGTTACACAGTGCTGTGTAAAAATTGAGGTAAACAAATAATCGGTGTTTACAGTTCAACAAATTTGTCAATGTCCTGCATCGTTTAATATATACAGGAGTTGATGTGAGTAAATTACGTTTTATTTAATAAAATGTTTTGAAAAATATCAAAATGTTTCCAATTTTTATTGAATCCATTTATTTTATTTTATAATTTGTATCTTGTTGGTTTGTAGATGATAAACCAAATTTCAAAAGTCACCACTTGTTTATTTGTGGACAAAACTTTTGAGGTTTAAAACTGGAACTGCTGTGTTGTGTAACTGGTCTTTTTGCATTTGATCTGTGAAAATGAAACAAAACAAGTTTAAGATTTCCAAAGAAGACGTCAGGAGTGAACATTTTGTGTTAACTGTTGAGTTTCTCCCAGAGGGTGAGACTCACTGCTATAAAAAAGACAGATGTAAACAGAACCAACTTACTGGACTGAGAAGTTCTCTTGCTGAATCTCCTCTGGTCATAACAGGTAAAATATTTGTTTTGATTTTTCTTTAAAAGTGGAGAAACAATTATTAGACCCAAGACCTGAATTGCTGTTACTTAAGAAAATTAATAAATAATTGTTTTCTTGTTTACAGCTGTTTAGAACTGACATCTGGTTTCTGCAAATATGGTCCAGCAAGTAGGAGTTTAGTTGTGCTGTTAAAGTTATAAATTAAAACAGCAAAAATAATGTTAAATGAAAATACACTTTATTACCTTTATTATACTTTTTTTTCTGTTTCAGTTGAGTCTTGTGTTTGCTGCAGTTGTGCTGCTTGGTATGTTGAACACAGTGACAGCAGTAACACATTTTAATTTAGACAATAATTACACAAACTACAACCACTAACTAACATTATTCTGATTATTTTCCACAGGTTACATGGAACCAAGTCATCAAAGTAAGAATTTTCAAAAGGCATCATCTGGTGTTTTAGGTTCCTTTTGTCAAAATGTTCTTACTGTTAAGATAATAGTAAAGAAAAAAACGTAAGTACTTTAAATTAAAAAGGACAGATTGTAAACTCATTGCTTTGCATTAAAAAAAGTAATGTGAAAGTGTTATTTCACTCTATTTTCATATTTCTCTTTTCCTGTTTTTTTGTTTGTTTTTGTTTTGAGCTCTCACTTAAACTGTGTTTTGGCACCACGGTACCAGGTCCTCTCCGTGAATTCTGTTGGACTAGTTGGTTCAATCGAGACAAACCCAGTGGAACAGGTGACTATGAGGATTTGAAGTCTCTGAGAGAAGCTTACCCAGGACAAATTTGTAAGAGACCTGCAAACATTCAGGCAGTTACCGCTGATAAAGAGATTCCAGCTGAAAAGACAAATCAGGAATTCTATGCGTAAGTTGTCTTTACATATAATTATTCATAAAATGGATTTAGTAAGCTTACCATTTTTCACTCTGAGTTGTTTTAGTCCATTATGCTTCTTTTTAAACAGTCATTGGAAAACATTTTTTTAAATGAAATTTTAGTTTAGAGCAACTTCATAATGATCACAGAACTGCAGACTTAAAAAATAAATATCTGTGCATATTCTGTCTGCAATGTTGACCAAGTTAAATATGTAATGTTAGAAAAGGTAAAGACAAATAAATAAACTGCAACAAAAATTCAATCAGTGTGTTGTTTAAGGTAGACGCTTTATACAAATCTGTAATGATTATTGTCTGTTATCTTTCAGCTACAGCACCAGAACAGGTTTCATTTGCCGCAATAAGGACCAGAAACATGGACGCTGCTTTGACTACAAAGTTCGCTTTAGATGTCCGTGTGACTAAGTTCACTGCTGCCGATGAAGGAACAAGAAAGAAACAAAAGATGTTGCTTTAGGTTTCGATTTTTATTTGATTTTTCATTTGTCCCCCCCAAAAAAAGTACGGACCTAGTAAAGTTCCTTTGTACCAGGAACTGTCCCGTCTTTGATACTGGTGCTGCTTCTTTTGGGTCATTGATCAAAATAAACATCATATCTCAGTTACATTTGCAAACCTCAGCATTTCCACATACTAGTCAAGTTTGGCCTAAGACCTTCAGCTGCATA